GCAGCACTATTTACAATAGCCAGGTCATGGAAGCAACCTAAATGCCCGTCAACAGACAAATGGGTAAAGAAGTTGTGGTACATATATACGATGGAATATTGCTCAGCCATAAAATGGAACGAAACTGAGTCATTTGTTGAGATGTGGATGGATCTAGAGACTGTCATACAGAGTGAAGTAAGACAGAAAGAGGAAAACAAATATTGTATGCTAACACATGTATGTGGAACCTAGAAAAATGGTACAGATGAACCAGTTTGCAAGGCAGAAGTTGAGACACAGATGTAGAGAGCAAACATTGGACAGCAAGGGGGGAAAACCGCAGTGGGGTGGGGATGGTGGTGTGCTGAATTGGGCGATTGGGATTGACATGTATACGCTGATGTGTATAAAACTGATGACTAATAAGAACCTGCAGTATAAAAAAACAAACAAAAAAACTAATACTAAACTTTCTTTGGGTTATTTGTATGGAAATATGTTAATATAAATGCTTCAGACATTACATGAAATTTCTAAAAATCTTACCTATTCTGGTATAATGTTATAAGTCATAATTCTAGTTAGTACTTTAAAACGTATATCTCAGAAACAACTAAATTTCCTTGTCAACTGCATTATTATGAATTTTCATCAAATCTTTAACTGTGGTCATTTTTAAGTCTTTTGTCATTTACAGACAGTTCTGGGTATACTCTGATGCTTTTACAAAAATGTTCCCATAAAAGGATCTCATCTTCAAGGAATTTACGGAAAAGACTCTGACAAGAACAGGTTTCTGGTAACTGACTATACTGCTGAACTGAATGAATAAGCATTTTCAGAACTCTAATGGAAAACTGATGAATTCATAGAAGTTCTAACAAAAGATCAAGATAAAAGAAAATTAATTACATGGGACTGAGTGAACTGATGAGGATGATTATAATTGTTGTGACTTTCTCTTTGAATAAAAAAAAAATCCCACAAGGACTCAGAGGCAAAAAATACACAAATCAATTTTCACTGCAAAGTAAAGGAGCTGTTACAGTGGAGTATTACTGGACTGAATGTCAATATTATGACATACTATGAGTGTATTTCGTGTTCGGTAATTGCAATCATTGTTGCTTTTGTTGTGGTCATCCATTTACAATGCTTGGTGTCAGTTTATCTCTTGTAAAAATAAAATACAGTGTGTGTGTGTGTGTGTGTGTGTGTGTGTGTGTGTGTGAGTTGTGGGAAAAAAAGAAAAAACATTCTTTGTTACTGCATATTTTTCCCACTGATTAAATTTAGAATGAGATTTAAAAAAAAAAAGAAATTGAAACTGTGATTAAAAATCTTCCAAAAAACAAAAGTCCAGTACTAGATGGCTTCACAGGTGAATTCTATCAAACATTTAGAGAACAGCTAACACCCAACCTTCTCAAACTCTTCCAAAAAAATGCAGAGGAAGGAAAACTCCCAAACTCATTCTATGAGGCCACCATCACCCTGATACCAAAACCAGACAAAGATACTACCAAAAAAGAAAATTACAGACCAATGTCACTGATGAATATAGATGAAAAAATCCTCAACAAAATACTAGCAACAGAACCCAACAACACATTAAAAGGATCATACACCATGATCAAGCGAGATTTATCCCAGGGATGCAAGGATTCTTCAATATATGCAAATCAATCAATGCAATACACCATATTAACAAATTGAATAAAAACCATATGATCATCTCAATAGATGCAGAAAAAGCTTTTGACTAAATTCAACAGTCATTTATGATACAAACTCTCCAGAAAGCTGGCATAGAGGGAACCTACCTCAACATACTAAAGGCCATGTACGACAAACCCACAGCAAACAACATTCTCAATGGTGAAAAACTTAAAGCATTTCCTCTAAGATCAGGAACAAGACAAGGATGTCCACTCTCACCACTATAATTCAACAGAGTTTTGGAAGTCCTAGCCAAGGCAATCAGAGAAGAAAAAGAAATAAAAGGAATACAAATAGGAAAAGAAGAAGTAAAACTGTCACTGTTTGCAGATGACATGATACTGTACATACAGAATCCTAAAGATGCTACCAGAAAACTACTAGAGCTACTCAATGAATTTGGTAAAGTAGCAGGATACAAAATTAGCACAGAAATCTCTTGCATTCCTATACACTAATGATGAAAAATCTGAAAGAGAAATTAAGACAACACTCCCATTTACCATTGCAACAAAAAGAATAAAACACCTAGGAATAAACCCACCTAGGGAGACAAAAGACCAGTATGCAGAAAACTACAAAACACTGATGAAAGAAACCAACAGATGGAGAGATAAACCATGTTCTTGGATTGTAAGAATCAATATTGTGAAAATGACTATACTACCCAAAGTAATCTACAGATTCAATGCAATCCCTATCAAATTACCAATGGCATATTTTATAGAATTAGAACACAAAACCTTAAAATTTGTATGGAGACACAAAAGACCCCGAATAGGGCTTCCCTGGTGGCGCAGTGGTTGAGAGTCCGTCTGCCGATGCAGGGGACACGGGTTCATGCCCCAGTCCGGGAGGATCCCACATGCCACGGAGCGGCTGGGCCCGTGAGCCATGGCCGCTGAGCCTGTGCATCCGGAGCCTGTGCTCCACAACAGGAGAGGCCACAATAGTGAGAGGCCCACATACCGCAAAAAAAAAAAAAAAAAGACACCGAATAGCCAAAGCAGTCTTGAGGGAAAAACACGGAGCTGGAGGAATCAGACTCCCTGACTTCAGACTATACTACAGTAATCAAGACAATATGGTACTGGCACAAAAACAGAAATATAGATCAATGTAACAAGATAGAAAGCCCAGAGATAAACCCACACACCTATGGTCAACTAATCTATGACAAAGGAGGCAAGGATATACAATGGAGAAAAGACAGTCTCTTCAATAAGTGGTGCTGGGAAAACTGGACAGCTACATGTAAAAGAATGAAATCAGAACACTCCCTAACACCATACACAAATATAAACTCAAAATGGATTAGAGACCTAAATATAAGATGGGGCACTATACAACTCTTAGACAAAAACATAGGAAGAACACTCTTTGACATAAAACACAGCAAGATCTTTTTTGATCCATCTCCTAGAGTAATGGAAATAAAAAAGAAATGGGACCTAATGAAACTTAAAAGCTTTTGCACGGCAAAGGAAATCATAAACAAGACGAAAAGAAAACCCTCAGAACGGGAGAAAATATTTGCAAATGAAGCAACAGACTAAGGATTAATCTCCAAAATATACAAGCAGCTCATGCAGCTCAATACCAAAAAAAAAACAACCCAATCCAAAACTGGGCAGAAGACCTAAAGAGATTTCTCCAAAGAAGATATACAGATTGCCAACAAACACATGAAAGGATGCTCAACATCACTAATCATTACAGAAATGCAAATCAAACCCACAATGAGATATCACCTCACACCGGTCAGAATGGCCATCTCAAAAAATCTACAAACACAGGACTTCCCTGAGGGTGAAGTGGTTAAGAATCCGCCTGCCAATGCAGGCAACACGGGTTCGAGCCCTCGTCCAGGAAGGTCCCACATGCCGCGGAGCAACTAAGCCCATGAGCCACAACTACTGAGCCTGCGCTCTAGAGCCCAAGAGGCACAACTACTGAGCCCACGTGCCACAACTACTGAAGCCCGTGTGCCTAGAGCCTGTGCTCTGCAAAAAGAGAAGCCACCACGGGCTTCCCTGGTGGCTCAGTGGTTAAGAGTCTGCCTGCTGATGCAGGGGACACGGGTTCGTGCCCCAGTCTGGGAAGATCCCACATGGCGTGGAGCGGCTGGGCCCGTGAGCCATGGCCGCTGAGCCTGCGCGTCCGGAGGCTGTGCTCCGCAGCGGGAGAGGCCAGCACAGTGAGAGGCCCGCATACCGCAAAAAAGTAAGTAAATAAAAATTAAAAATAAATGAGGAGGGCTTCCCTGGTGGCCCAGTGGTTGGGAGTCCGCCTGACGATGCAGGGGACACGGGTTCGTGCCCCGGTCCGAGAAGATCCCACACGCCGCGGAGCAGCTGGGCCCATGAGCCATGGCCGCTGAGCATGCGCGTCCGGAGCCTGTGCTCCGCAATGGGAAAGGCCACAACAGTGAGAGGCCCGCGTACCACAAAAAAATAAATAAATAAATAAATGAGGAGTATATAAAAATTATATGTAATATGTTTCCAATTTTGTTTATAAAAAATTAGATGCAGAGAAAGAAAAGATACAATCCAAGTGTTAATGGGAATTAACACTTGATGGAGGAATTTTTGTTGATTTGTTTTTTTGCCTTTCTATATTTTATACATGCTCCTCTGTAATAATGAGTCAAACTCCCCATTTTTGATGCTTAATGTTTCAAGCCCACCACCCCCTCTTTTCTTTCTGTTACACATCTGGGCAGTAGGGTAAGAAACCCTAGGTGGTCCCTCCATTGGCACCGGCAGGAAATTGAAAAGTTGTAATAAGCCCCAGCCTACATGCAGAACCCTCACCACACCTCATATCCATTAGAGAAACTGAGCCCATCTCTTATCCCCTCCTTCTCTCTAGCTATTTTTGGACCAGCCTTGGGAACCTGCCATGCTGTCCCCAGAAAAGCTTCGTTATGTGAGTAATAAAACTTTTCGCATCCTCCTGATGGATACGTGGCATCATCAACCTCAACACCAAACCAAATTTGGGGAAGTAAAACCAACCCACTCATGCTGAGGGGCCACAACATCTACAAATGAGCATGTTGTACTTTTATACCAAAACTGCAATATTATTTCTTAAATATTAAGCTATAACTTTTCATGTCAGGCCTGCAGAATTTTCTCATTTTACGGAAGGATACGTTTTTAAAACAGTAGGCAAAGAAACAGGAGAACTGATTATAAGGTATCGCCTTACAGTCACTCAAGACAACATGTGTCTAAAAGAAGAATCATCTCCTGTTCTGGAACTAATTGTACAATATAACCAAAGAAACATACCTGGACTCAGAAACTGGTCTTCTGTGAGTACATCTCCCAGGGTGACAGATAAAAACTGGTATTTGGGTCTCTGCCAGCACCACAATCTCTTTTTTTTGGTCACCAGACTTAGAAGTTGTAATTTATCAGAGTCATTCAAATTTGATACTGTGATCAGGTTACCTCCAGCATCAACTTCTCTAAGAAAATTCCTTGTTGCTTTGGCAAACATTTTGAGAGCTCCAGATTACCTGAAAAAAAATATACAGGAAGTTGTTATTTCGTGACTTTTTTCTAAAATTACCTTATTTCTCCCTAGTATCAATCAGTATACATGAAAGAATACCTTCTCCTTAGAGAAGCCTCTAGTTTGAGTTCAGTTGATGTCTAAAAAATCAAATTGAAATACTGAAAGAGAATACGTATATGAATCAGGATAGGCTAGGTTATGCCTCCAAATCTCGGTGGCGTATAACCAGTAAGGTTTATTTAGTGCTCACACTACACGTCCAAAACAGGACAGGAAGGCTTTGCTCCTCATAGCCATTCAGGGATCCAGGCTGAAGGGGCAGCCGCCATCTTGAATATCATGTCATCAGCCAACAGGAAAGAGAGTTCTTAAAAGTCTCACACCAGCAATTAAATGCTCTGGCCCAAAACTGACACACGTCACGTCCACTCACAATTTGTCAGAACTAGGCAGATGGCCTCAGCCAACCACAATGGTCAGGAAATACAATCCTACCAAGTATTTGGAAGGCAGAGACCTGGGAATATCTGTTGAACAGCGTACTGACTACCCCCATTTGTATCTTACTTATGACCACTTCTTTGAAGGGTCAAATGTGCTTTTTCTCTACACTGTGTGATGTCCCCTGTTCATAAATGGGAAGTGACTAGCTATTACTTTTAACCCCAGAAAGGAAAGCCCAGTCACTCTTCAGCCGGAGGGAAAAAAAAAAGAGACATGTTGGAAGATATAAAAGTACTACATTCAGTGGAAGATGTATATACTATTCAATAAATGGTGTCAGAACAACTGGCTAAACATCTGGAAAAAAATAAAGTCAGATCCCTAACTCATGCCATACACAAGAGCAAATCCTCAGTGGATTAGAGTGTTTTTAAGGAAAAGTGAAACCATAAAGTACTAGAAAAAAATACAAACAAATATTTGTACAATTGTAGGATGAGAAAGGCCTTTAGGAAGACAAATGGCAAACTGAGAAAATACTTACAAAACAAAGAACCAGAACATTTAACATATACAAAAAACTTTTACAAACCACATCAAGTTTTACAAATACTGTAGTAGATACATGGACAAAGGTTATAAACAATTCACAATACATAAAGTGCTCACAGCTGTACATATGCATATGAATATATACATATGCGCGCGCACACACACACACACACTATCATTATTACTCAAAAAAAGCACAAATTGAAAGATTTTTTTAAAACTATAGTCAACAGTTAAAATGTCTAATGCACAAGAATTGTGTTTTATTTATATTTGTATCCTGGTGTCTGGCAGTCACATAGATAACAAAATCATAGAATTTAAGAGCTGAGATAATCTTAGATGTTAATTAGTTCAACCCACTTTTCTTTACCATGAACCTTCTCAAGGGCATAAAAAAAAGTTTTACTATCACTAGTTCTTCTCTAAAGTACCTTTTCTTATATTATTGTATAGCCAACTAACCCTGTTCTTATATCAGAGCACTCATTTATTCATTTATCAAAATATTTATTGAATCGGTGTACAAGGCAATATTTGGGAGCAGCAAGGTCGTGATGTCCAGGAGACATGGTTTTGTGTAGATATGCCCATCACCAATTCTTTGACAGACCGAGAGTTGCTTTGCAAGCTCTGGGACTGGTTCCTGCACTGCACTGCCAGGTTCTAGAGAAGGGAAGCGCAAAGGATAAGGATGAAGAAGGCTCAGTCCTGGTCCTGAAGGCCTGTGCCTCCTCTGGGGGAACCAGGGCAGCAGGAGCCACTGGAGGGGTTATATAGGGAACAGTGTGATCAGAGCGGTCACTTAGAAAGATCTTCTGGAAGCAAAATAGGAAACCAGCTGGAAGGGAACAATTAGACAACACACAATGATGCTGAACTACGTGGGTGGTGTAAGGGTAGAAAAGATGCTGGTTTGGCGGTTTCCCGAGAAGTCTGGTTGGATGTGAAGGTGCTGATGAAAGAGAGGAGACACCCCAGCTTGGCCTGCGGCTAGCTCAGGCCTGGGTCAGCTGATAGATGCCAGCTACCAAGAGGGGGATCCAGAAGGAAGCAGACTGCTGGGGACAGTAAGACAGTAACTGCTGAGCGTGCATCTAGGATAAGGTGTAAGGTTTATTTTGTCAAACACAAGGAAAGAACTTTTAACAAAATAAGGTCTCCCAATGACCCGGGGGATTTTACCCTGCTTGTCCAAGAGAAGAGCCACAGCAGAACCTGCCTCAGTTCACCATGGTGATCAGGATCTCCATTTTTACGGTTTTTATTCTTTCCTGGGACAACCTGGAAGGGAGTTCACTAACTTGCCTTCAGATTAAACAGGTTTCTGAAGAAGCCAAATCAGGCTTGCTATTAAAAAATAATAAAATAACAAAACCCAAACTCATCCGCTACGGGCAACAAAGCCTTAGTAATGACACCGATCCTCCCCAGAGGGATTACAGGATGAAGAAAGAGAACTCCTAAATTAATTTTTCATTTTGTTTTTCTATCTAGCATCAAATACGGCCTCTTGACAGTGTAGGCTGCTTTAAAAAGAGTTAATGGAAGTGGCTATTGCTTTGGATGTTTTTATAAGAACCAGGTTTACTCAATCAAGGGACTCAGAATATTCTCCTTGTGAAGGTAAAGTTAGAGGCTTTTTTTTTTAATTACTATGTTTGAATACACAATATATTTACTTGGCTCTAATATCTAAACTATGGAAAAAGATACACACTGAGAAATCCCATTTCTACCCAGGTCCCATCTACCTTTTCACCCCTCTCCCCTTCATGTTTCTTTACACAAATATAAGTAAAAAGGAGTGTACACACTTTTCTGCATCCTACTTTGTCATGTGGCAATATATCCTGGAGATCTTTCCACGGTTAGAACCTTCTGCATAATACAGCTTCATAGTACCCCTTCACATGGATGTACCATTGCTTATTTAACCTGTTCAGTATTGCTGATCACTTGGGTAATTTCTAAGTTTTTATTATTTTCAAAATGCCACACTAGGGCTTCCCTGGTGGCGCAGTGGTTGAGAGTCCGCCTGCCGATGCAGGGGACACGGGTTCGTGTCCCGGTCCGGGAAGATCCCACATGCCGCGGAGCGGCTGGGCCCGTGAGCCATGGCCACTGAGCCTGCGCGTCCGGAGCCCGTGCTCCGCAACGGGAGAGGCCACAACAGTGAGAGGCCCGCGTATCGCAAAAAAAAAAAAAAAAAAAAAAAAGCCACACTAAATACTGCTAAATGTATGTTTTCTTCCTACATGGGCAAGAGTATCTGAAGGGAGATTTCTAGAAGAGGGATTGCTAGACCAATGGTAAATGCATCTATAATTTACAGGTTGTACCATTTTGCAGTCTCACCAATAAGGTATGAAAGTATCAGTCTCAGCAACAGAGTATGGTATCAATCTTGTATTTTTTTTCAGCCTCATAGGTGAGAAATGGTATCTCAGTGTAGTTTTCTGTTTGTTTTTTTGGTGGGGTCATGTAGATCAGTTGCCAATATCTTTTGTTTTCTTTTTAAATTAATTATTTTTTTTTGGCTGCATTGGGTCCTAGTTGCTGTGCGTGCGCTTTCTCTAGTTGCGGCGAGCGGGGGCTACTCTTCGTTGCAGCGCACGGGCTTCTCGTTGCAGTGTCTTCTCTTATTGCGCAGCATGGGCTCTAGGCACAAGGCTTCAGTAGTTGTGGCTCGCGGGGTCTAGAGCGCAGGCTCAGTAGTTGTGGAGCACAGGCTTAGTTGCTTCGCAGCAAGTGGGATCTTCCTGGACCAGGGCTCGAACCCGTGTCCCCTGCATTGGCAGGCAGATTCTTAACCACTGCGCCACCCAGGGAACTCCCTCAGTACAGTTTTAAGTCATGTTATTTTAATACAAATGAAATCAAGCATCTTTTGTTTAAAGCCTTTTTATATATCTTTTTCCTGTTTGTGTCTTTAGCCCATTTTCTATTGTTTTTTTCTGTATTCCTAGGATCCTTCAATGGAATAGAGAGATGAGCCAAAGTACAATATATGCTAGAAATTTAATACAATACAGTTTATCATGTGGCATTGGGAGCCAATAAGCTGTTGTCTGATTCTCAAACATCTAAAGTAACTGTCCAGCCAGGAAAGATTAAATAATATGCCCAGGGCCCACCAAAGGATCTAGAACCCATGTTGCCTGGCACAGACAAGCACAATAATGACTCAAGTAGAAGTTAGACTTCGGATTCAAATTTCCAAAATGCTCCAACCTGGAAGGAGATGAAAATGGCCTCATGAGAGACCAAGCTCAAAATGCTCATGGCCTAAAACCCCACTGCACTTCACTGCTGTACCGAAGATCCTGGGCTCTCTCATTTGGGGCCTGAAGAATTCCATTCGCCAACAGTTCCTACTTGTCTGCCTATGTGGCTTCCCAGCTCGAAGCAGATTAGAACTCAGAGAGCCAAAGTGAAGGTGGTAAGGATATACAAGCTCGAATGAGACTCCCGGACAAAAGACATAAGAGGAAAAGACCAAGAAACCAAGACAACAACACAAAGTCAGAAGAGTACATGGCCAACTGGGACCACTGGCTCCTGGGAACAAAGACTCATAGAAATAGTTGCCAGGGTAATGGTAGCATAAGAAGATACTACAATCACTCGTGTCCCTCCTCAGGACTGATTCAGAGTGATGGAATGATCACATCTTTGAGTTGCAAAGGACCCGCTTCTTCCTAATATCCAATTCAGGATTCTTCTCTGGAGCAGCTCTGGTTGATCACTGGGCCTCTGCGTGAATAGTTCTAGGAAAGAAACCTGAACCTCGAAATCCACTAAAAGGGCGGGGGGGGGCGGGGGGCAACTGTATATCGAGTACCTGCTGTGTGCCAGGTACTGGGCTAAGTCCTTTCTACACATTTCCTCATTTAATCTCCACGACAACCCTGAGTAGGCATTGTCCATATTTTACAGATGTGGAAACTAAAGTTCAAAGATGTTAAGTAATTTGCCCAAGATAACAAGAAAAAAAGCAG